ATTCAGATCAGAGAATGCTAATATATTGTTATGAGAGCATAAAGAAACGTTACTATTTATTTATTTATTTTGCAACAGGTATAATAACTTACGTCATCACAATTGTTATTTTCTTCAAGCAACTATGTTAACAGCAATTACTCGCCAGAAATCCTACTGTCAACATATGCAAGTGTAAGTGTAATTGCATAAATCATAGCAGTCAACAGCCAGCAATAAGTTGCTTCTTAGTTATGTGCCAGTTGCACAATGAGGAGTACAAGTAACAATTTGTTAATTAGTTGCAATTTACCACCACAATTTAGGCATTCACACGTACACCAGTGTAAGTCCAAAACAGGGCACTGAGCCAATGTACAGTAACCATTCCCAAGTAAGCAGTACGTTGACACGAGATTTTCTATATGCTCATGAAAAAGACTGCCATTTCTTGTGTGGACCAGTCCAAACATTTTTAGTTATTTTCAAATGGTCTTTACACCTTGCTAAAAACAAAGGTATTACTCAGGGAAGAAAATCCTTTAAAATGTGTGTAAATTATAGTGAAGCCCCTCTTATTAATTCATGGGGACGACACAATTGCTGTCAAAGAAGTGTACCTTTTCCATTCGGATTCTGTCTCCACATTCGGCTTGTACGTGACCTTCAGTTAAAATTAAGTCTTCAGCTGTTACTTTCCACTGTCTGCTAGCAAAGTGAACAATTGCAAATAACCTCCCATACTGTCCAGTGGCAATAAGCTCATTCACCTTTTGTACAAGCTCTGTGTGAAAATGGAAAAGTTAATGACCAAATGTGCATGTGGGTTAACAAAACAAAACCCTTACACAGTAACATCCACCTTATTTTACTCACTATTTTAAAACCACAAAAACATATTCTAAAGCTACAAGAAGTTAAGCCAAGGATGGCTACCACATATATACTCAGTGGCAATGTGAATCCTGACCAAGTAGGGTTTGGGTAACATATAGGGACTTGTAGATAAATACAAATACAGGGCTCCCTCCAGACCGATGCAGATTGCACATTGGCTGATGGTAAGGTTACCATCAAGGTACAAGGTTTATTTACTTGGGTGACAGTCAGTTTATGTTCTCATACTAAAACTTTTAAAAGTTACTTTTTGGACTAGGACTCCCCAACTCCCTCGGTCAGCTATTTTTTTGGATCAGTCATAGGGAGCTTATAATTGTAGAGCTGCTTTAGAGCAGTAGCTCCCAACCGTCAATCCCTAGACATTCTTGGACTGCAGGCTCCCGGAAATCCTGGCCAGCACAGCTAGTGGTGAAGGCTTCTAGGGCTTGTATTCCAAGAACATCTGGGGACCCAGGGTTGGGAACCACTACTTTAGATCTACAGTCCAAAAATAGTACTCTTTCCAAGCTCTGCTTCATAATAAATGCTTCTTTAGTGGTAATTCAGTAGTTCTGTGCAACTTTTGTTCCAGTTTTTCCTGTGGTACAGTAATTGTCTACGTACATATACAGTACACTCAGAACAGAGAAGCAAATGAAGGAAACCAATAAATCAAAATCAAGAGGAGGAAAGAAATAGGGGCATGGAATACAACAACCATGCTCATGGGTTTTGAAACATTAGAGATGTTTACCTCTGTGTTGCTTTGCCTCTTCTACGGGGTCAGGCAGTTTGATTTCAGCCCATGGGGGGGAAGACAAAGATGTTTTTGCAACTAGTCTGTGAAATAATAAAATTTGCTTTTATCAATATTACTGCCAAACACTTGTGTTGAGTAACAAAGTTATTTTAGCTTTTGCCCCTGAATGAAGAAAAACCCACCCACCCCCAGAACTATAATATAAAGTAACATGAAAAACAGAGTGTAATAACGTGGAAGACCTGGCCATCTTTTACATTCAACCTTATCTCCCAGAACTGTTTCCCCATCTCATTTACTGGGTTCCCCAGAGAAGTAGCAATAAGATTATATAACAGGTTGGGCCACGGTAACTCTCTGGATATTTTTGGATTGCACTCCTCCAATCTTGCACAGGTGGCTATGCTGGCTGGGATGGATGGCAGTTGCATGCAAAAAGCATTCAGAAGGCCACGGTTGCCCATCCTGGCTATAGATCCAGAAAGAACCCTAATCAAAAGAGAAATTGATATAAGGGATGCAAAGTTTGCATTGATGCAAACCATTGTTTTTGTTCCGTAAAATGCCTCGGCTGGCAAGGTTTTTCCTCTGCTGCATATCTGAAGTGGTGAGAGAAAGAGACAGGCGCCAATAAAATGCTAAGGCAATTTGGGAAGATGCTGGCAAAAGCCAGTAGCTCAGCAAATAACCAGAAATCATTATAGGAGTGAATTATTTCCATTGGAGTGGGAATAGGATCTATCAATAAAAAGTCTGATTAAAAAAGAAATATGGTGAAGGAAGACATGGCACCAGATGAAATGGTCAGCTCATGCCCCCTCCAATGCATAGAAGATGTTCTAAGTCTGCAGGGAAATGTACTTCCAACTCTGTGAGTGTCATGGGATATATAGGACCACAGTTCACTGATAAGAACCCATAGTTTTGTGTACAGACATATATCCTGGCATCTCTACATCCTGGGTAAGGTCTCTACTTCAGGTCTTGGAAAACTATTAGTCCTTGCAGGTCTCCTGTAGCCCACAACTGGAACAGAATGCCAGTCTAGAAAGCCCTTTGGTGTGATTCAGGGTGATTCTTCTTATGTTCATATGTTATTGTTTTAAATATAGCTTTAGAATGGTTTTAAACTGTTCTTATCCAATAGTTTTTAATTCGATATCTGAAGTTTGGCCCAACCAGTTTTCATAAAATTGACTATGACTTATTATTTGATTTCAGAATGCTTGCTCTGAATGAAAGTGGTCTTTTTCTACTACAGCCTTATTGATGTCTACAGAGGTACAAGATCGGTATCCTTCTGCCATAGGAAACCTGATACTTACTGTGGCAAGACATGAGCTGGTCCAAAAACCATTGTTCACTCTCCACTGAAGCTGCATTGAGAGCTTTAAGGAGGAGGAGCTGCTTTCAGTAGTTTACATACTGAGAAGCAGTAGATATTTTACATAAATGCTGAAATCTTAGTTCTCTGGAAAAGTTACCTAATATCTTTTGTTCTGCAGAGAAAAGAAGGATGACCAAACCCAATTTGTATAAGCTAAAGTGCAACCTCCACCATAGGGAACTAGTCTAAATTCCCACTCCACAAAAATAAATTACAGTACATCGGAAATCCAATCCATGATTTTAAATGACCACATCATCTAACAACTGTACCTCCCCACCCAGAGACTGGCAAATTTATTTTTGGACTTTAAGTCTCATCATTCCTAGTAATAGGATGCCAAGACCTGTAGCCTCAGAAATTAACTTTCCCAAGCTTTGTCTTGCCCCAGCCATTTTGCCCAATTTCTCCTCAGATTCTATGTACAATGAGAAATAATCTACAGTTAGCAGAACATGGGTACTCCCAGTCCACACTGAAAAAAAGCAGGAGGAAATATACAATTATGCTCCAAATCTGATTGCACAGAACACAAGAAAGGGGCATGGGAAAGTAAACAAGCCCTCTCCTGAACTTTGTTTTCAGGGCTTCAGCTAAAGAATTGCTCCAAAAATCATGTCACAGGAACCTTTGGCTTAATTTCAAAGAGTGTTTCAAAGGAATCTGTCCCACTGTCTGTCAACCATGATCAGCCTGTCCTTCCTATGATGGTCCACTGACCTGGAAAAAAGTGGGGAAGGGACCATTTGGCCCCATCTACCACCGCCACCTACATGCAGTCACTAAAGCAGTTGCAAACCTAAGCAGAGCACATACCCACTTTTGCCCTAAATGATAAGAGCCCAGAATTTAATCTAGAAAATTTTCAAATCATTGTCTTATACTCTTAAGGACTAAGAGAGATATAGACCACTGGGGGATACAACATAAGAAAGTGTGTGCAGGATCTAAAGCCCATGCAAAAGTTCCCAAGGTGCTATGGACTACTTCTGCAAAACGCTACTAAAAAGATCTGGCACAGTACAGATTCAGCGGCATACTTTCCAAAGGTTCATATGCGTGATATGAGCATAATTCATGACACCTCCAGCTGTTTGAGGCAACAACAATCAAAATCCACTTGTGTTTCTGTGGAAACTGCAGTATTCTAAGAGCTGTACAGTAAATGTTTTGCTCCTTGTGGCAGAGCCCACTGGAAATTAAAACATTAAAAATTAAATATTTGAAAATATCCATTTATGTAAAGATGTCCCCGCAGAGCAAATGAAAACTCAGTATGTTAGGAAAAAGTTAGACTAGACTGCTTGTTCCTAATAGGCCGGTTTTAACTGTTTTTTTTTAATCTGCATAGTCACAGAGAGGTAACACTACTGACTTTTAAAAAATCTGTAAATCAAGGCAAATTTAAGGACATGATGATCTGTCAACAAAAAGCAGCTTCCTAGAAGCAGCTACAATATCAGTAGGTTTGTTCCCCTGATATATACCCACCATACAGCACATTATTGCACTTGCTGAATGTAGTAAGGGCCGACAACAGTTTCTATGGCAAGGAAAACACTCACTGGACTTCAGCTGAAGTTTTCAAAATAGGATTAGATGATCAATAGCAATTCCAATGGGATAGTTTTCAAGATTCAACATCCTTAGCCTTTTCTTTAAGTGGCAAAATGGATTGGATTAACTAATCAGGAGAAAATAAAGCAGACTAGCTGAACAATCCCATCAAATAAGGAGCTAGCATATCGTTTTTAAACTGATCAGAAGAGGAAAACTGCTCAGTAATGTATACCTAGTTGTGTACAAGTGCTGGGATAGGATTCTGATGTTTGATAAGGTGTAATTGAGAGTTCAAGTTCTAATTTGCTAGAGATGGGAAGGAAAAGCATCTTAAAATCTGAAAGGCATACAAAACAAAGGACATTTGTTGGAGGATGATTAAGGGCACAATGATTAACTTACACTACTTTAAAAATAATTTATTGAATATATAACATTACTTTCATCTGGAGTACAAAAGTAAATGCCAACAAACATAATAATGCCCAAAACATAAACATGAACTTAGTAATTACTTAACAAAGGTAAAATTACAAGCAAAGAATTGAAAGTGTCTTAAATACTCCTGCTTTCTTACTCAGCCAATATTACATGCTCTGAAACCAAATGCCAAATGATTCATTTTCACTCTTCTGAGTGTTGGCAACCCTATTGGTACGATATTTGTTGTGTTACCTTTCCTTGAGAAATGGCAGAACTCACTAGATGAAATTCAGTAGTAAGCCACAACTAGAGTAGGCTTGTGGTATCAGTGGAGATCTGGTCAGTCCACTCCTCCATAAATACCACTGATTAAATGGGCCGACTCTTGTACTGACTTACAACTTGATTTCAGCCATAAATGCTATTACAGAACTTTGTTGACCATACCATGTTTTATTAACAATATACTAATGCAGTATTCTAGAAAAATTTGAAAAGTCTGAAGAGAATAGTATGCAACAATCCATACAGTCAGGCAATTGTAAATTTTGACTCATTGCTAAATAATTGTCCATCATATTTTACACAGCTATATTAGCCAACATTTGAGAAAAGCATAGTTAAGAACATAACAATTTATTACTAAATTTCTAGCTCTAATTTAGACAGTTTTTTAGTTGCCCCTAAATAGTTCACTGAACATTGTTTTGCTTTTCTGTACCGTTTTGCCTTTTCCTGCAAAGATTTAGTGTTTCTCTAAACAGGGAAAGGGCATCTAACAGCTGAAGCCATTGTAACACACATAATATTGCAAAAATATTAGTGAAAAGACTAAACTAATGAAGCATTTTTCAGAAGGCTGAACACAGTATAAACATGATACTCCCAAACTAGAGCCTGAAAGTATTAAATCTATCTTCACTAGCAGTACAGCTAAAAGCTATGCTGGGTGGTGGTGGTGGTAATTGCAGTTCCACACAGCTGGACAGCACCAGGCTATGGAACGCTAGCATATGCCAAAAGTGGTGATTACCGTATCTCTGCAGTTTTGGTTTGCATATTCAGGATTCTGCACAGAAATCCAGTTTTTCCTAGTACAACTCAAATGCAATTAAATATTCTAAAACTTTCTAATAGGGTAAAATGTCACATTGGTGAAACAGGTGTGGAATAAAATTAAATTTGAAGTTATTTGTTAATAATATCTATACAAGTAGAAGTCAGGTGAAAGTAGTGATTAACAATGTTAATTTTACATACAACTCAACTTCTATGCAAATGTTTCAGAGTTGTTTGCATATGGAATTCTGAGGTGGCCGGGGAGATCAAATGCCTTTGTGGATAATATTTAATTTATATATTATATGTTCAAAGATATTTTCTATAATGGTCCTTGTTTCAAAAGACTGAAATGATGCACACAAGACTAGGATGTACAATACAGTGATGATTCAGAGGCTCAAACACTGGTCCTATGAACATACCTCAAATTCTACTATACAACTACAATAGCTCAAGTTTCAATCTTGTGAGAGTCACAGGACACTATTTTGAAAATTAAAGGTTTATGATGAAAAGCAGTTGATTCAACTTTTTTACCAGCTGATGACTGAATGATACATATTTAAGAGCAAGCTCATCAATTAAGGGTTTGTATCATAAATTTGTTCGTAGTCCTAATAGCCTGGTCTTGGGCAAATAAAGCAATGCACTCTATACCCTTCTTTTTCTGAAAAAGTAACAGAATTATACAGAAACTTTTTAAAATTTGTTCTAAAGTCATGTGGTGGTACTAGCCGTATCTGTTACAGAACAAGCTGCTCTTTAATCACTTGCAGATCCTGAAAGTTGTAAAAAGGCATTAAAGCAAAATGATGTTTGGGTGGTTCAAATGAACCACAAAAGAAGTCCAGTAGTAACTGCCACATTTAAGTTGTATATACATTCAAGTTTATGAAGTACTCAAGAAAGTCCCAACTGAAGTGTTCTCAGGGGGATCCAAACCTTTATATATAAATTGGATGGTACTGTTTGTGATTGAGTTTTTTCCTACACGTTGGGCAAAAGCTGGCATTTCTAAGAGAATTACAAAGGCACTGACTACAGAAGATGTGACCACATTTTGTCGACACTATAAGCCGTCCACTGCGCACAATTTCTGCATAGCCATCCATGCAAATTGGGCAACTCACAGTGCCTGAAGATCCTGAACTTCCAACTGTCTCCTTGTCCAATTTGCTGGACAACTTGCTGGCAACAGGTACATCACTCTCTCTGCATTCACTGTCATCATCACTGCATAATATATAGCCATGAGACAACACCTGGGCTCTTAACTCTGGATGGGGACACTGTTTAACCTCATCAACAAATACAACTGAATCATTATGGGTGAGATCAACTATGGAAGGCTCACAGGTAAGATCTACTACTTCTTCAACATTTCCATCTGATTCAATAGGCTCTGTTTCTGAAACTGTTTCTGTAGCTGAAGCTGCCATTCTACTTTGGCTACAAATCTGTATAGGAGTAGTATTTTCTTCACAATACTTGCTCTGCATCTTTTTCTGTTCCATTTCTTTGCTACCACTTGAGGAGCCTGTTGTTTCCAGAACACTCAGCCCAGCTTTAGAAGAGGAGCAAATGCTAGCAGTTTCTAAAGGTGAGGCCATGAGGGACGTGGATGGCAAAGAGGGAATACTGGGTATAGAAGATGTTCCTGCAGCCATCTCACCCAGACTGCTACATGGACATCCTTGCACAACACCACTTCCTCTCTTGTTTTTTCTGCGCTTGGCTCCATCATGCTTTACTTTGGCTGAACTCATGGTACACAATGAGAGGCGCAGACTGCACAGTATATTTTGCTCTTCCCCGATCTCCAAATTCCACTCACTGCTCAGTTATCTGCCAGTTCTGCCACTTGATGATCATAAATGTTCTCCAAAGCAGTTCTATGCAATTGGCAAGTCTGACAAGCACTTTAACTTTGAGGGCCTCTTTATGTCTTGAAACTGTAAGTTCAGCCTCTTATGGTGAAGGGTTAGGGTGCATTTCAGGTCACTCTTTAGAACTGCATTAAAGTAGGGAGAAACATAATTAGGCTGAAGAGCCAGCACAAAATACTTTGTTGTTTGCCAACCAGAACAGCAGCTTAAACAAGTTTAATTAAGAGGCAAAGAAAAGTTCAAACATACTGCAGCATTTTATGGCAAGGTATGAAATAGTCTTTTGATCACACCCAAATGGTGGAACAAGCCAAGGCCTAAATCCAGTTCACTGCTGGAGAAATGAATTGCCTCATCCACAAAGCTATGCTTAACATCTTCCCCTCATATGTATACACTCTAGCAGCTATAGGTTTCAGTTGCTTCCTGCCTGATTTCCCTTTCTGAAAGCAAAGCAACATGTGCTGCTTATACACCACTCCGTGCTTAAAACTCTCTGAACAGTTTACAGTTTAATTATGCAGGTTACACATTGCCCCACTCCAGCAAGCTGGGTACAGTACTTAGTTTACTGACCTCAGAAGGGTGGAAGGTTGAGTCAACCTTGAGTCAACTACCTGAGCCCAGGATCAAATTCAGCTTGTAAGAAGTCTCTTCACTGCAATATTACAGTTTAACTATTGTACCACAAGGCTTCTTAAGAAGCACCAGCTACTCCAAGCAGCCAGAAAGTATTTAAGCAGGATGAGTGTTTCTGCAGAAAGGAAGACTGGCTAGTCAGGAACAACACTGAGCTGCTGCCATAGCAATGTGGGGTTGAAGGAAACAGGGAGGCAAAGGCATGGAGGGAGGGACTTACCCAAGGAGATACTGGGTACTTTCTGTGAGCTTGCAAAAGGAACAGCTACTCACACTGTCTTTTCGAATCAGATCATGGAGGCCCGATTTTGTCTGAACTGGAAAATTTACTTGCTTTGCAATAATCGAGAATAACAAACTATTGACTGAAGTTACTTTATCATCCTAACTGTGCTGCAAGTTTCAAGAAAATGGGAAATTATGTTTGTTTGCTTTCTCAAAGGAAATGAATGGATTCGCAAAGGAAATGAACATGGAGCAAATAATTCACTAAGCTAAGGTACCGTACTTTGAAAGGAATCAGCAAATTTCATTTAGCCTTGACAGTAACATGTATATGAAGGGGAATTCACAAAACAATATGAATGGTTGTTATCGAAGAATATGAACATACAGGATCTTATTGCAGGTTTTGGGAAATATTAAGCAATTACAAAACCTTTCAGTTATTTCTACTAGAACCCCAGGAATTAGGAAAACTTTAGCTTGCTTCTCATAGAAATTGCCTAGGTGACACTGAGGGGAAAAGAATTCCCAGAAGAAAGTTATGGAAAACATATTTCCATAGTTTTAATCAGCATTCATACAGAAGCTGAAATAGTTCTGATGAGACACACTCTAAATGACTTCATAGTGTAATACTGGCCAGAGCACTCTGGTTCTAACATGTTAAATCTATTTTTAAAGGAACACTGGGAATTGAGAGGATGCTGGGGGGGGGAGCATGCATTCTGCAATGAATTCATCTTACCCTTGCCATGATGAGGTATTTTGTGAACTCTGATTTCGGGCTGCAGTCCACAACAGAGAGGCTAAAACAGAAAGTTTAGAGAATTAAAAACAGGATGTCACTTGAATGCTGTTTAACAATCCTGACAGGGACAAGTGTTTTGGTTCTAACATTCTAAAGTTTTAGAATGTATGGTTTAAACATCAATTTCAGAATAGTTTAAACAAAATTCCTTTTTCTCTAAATCTGCTGCAGACCGCAAGCATTAGAAATAATGAGACCAGAGTTAAAATAATTACTGACTTGATCAAACTAATGGTGAGATTAGTGAAAATCCCTTCTTGGAAAGCTATTCCAAAGGCTTATTAGTTCAATCACCTTTTTGCAGTCAATGCACCAGAATGACTTCGCTTGTAAGGAAAGAATATCTTTACATGGAAGAGAGATGGGAAAATGGACTATTGATTTTTGTAGCTTTTTTCTGAATAGCAGGTTTGTTGTAAAAAAACCACAGAGACCCTGCTTCCTTATAATTCTATCTTTTAGACTTCAAGCAGTGTGCCCAAGTTCACTGAACTCCATAATCTTGTTGTTGTTGTTTAGTCATCAAGTCATGTCCGACTCTTTGTGATCCCATGGACCAGAGCACGCCAGGCCCTCCTGTCTTTCACTGCCTCCCAGAGTTGGATCAAATTCATGTTGGTAGCTTCAGTGACACTGTCTAACCATCTCATCCTCTGTTGTCCCCTTCTCCTCTTGCCCTCACACTTTCCCAACATCAGGGTCTTTTCCAGGGAGTCTTCTCTTCGCATGAGATGGCCAAAGTACTGGAGCCTCAGCTTCAGGATCTGTCCTTCCAGTGAGCACTCAGGGTTGATTTCCTTTAGATTTGATAGGTTTGTTCTCCTTGCAGTCCAGGGGATTCTCAAGAGTCTCCTCCAGCACCACAATTCAAAGGCATCAATTCGTCGGCGGTCTGCTTTCTTTATGGTCCAGCTCTCACTTCCATACATCACGACAGGAAAAACCATAGCTTTGACTATTTGGACTTTTGTTGGTAAGGTGATGTCTCTGCTTTTTAAGATGCTGTCGAGGTTTGTCATCGTTTTCCTCCCAAGAAGCAGGCATCTTTTAATTCTGTGGTTGCTGTCACCCTGTGCAATGATCATGGAGTCCAGGAAAGTAAAATCTGTCACTGCCTCCATATCTTACCCTTCTATTTTCCAGGAGGGGATGGGACCAGAGGCCATGATCTTAGGGGTTTTTTTTTGTGTGTTGTTTTTTATGTTTGTTGAGCTTAAGACCATTTTTTATGCTACTCTCTTTCACCTTCATTAAGAGGTTCTTTAATTCCCCCTCACTTTCTGCCATCTGAATATCTGAGGTTGTTGGCAATCTTAATTCCTGTTTGGGATTCCTCCAGTGCAGCCTTTCACATCATGTATTCTGCACATAAGTTTAATAAGCAGGGAGACAATATACAGCCTTGTCGTACTCCTTTCCCAATTTTGAATCAATCAGTTGTTCCATATCCAGTTCTAACTGTTGTTTCCTGTCCCACACATAGATTTCTCAGGAGATAGATAAGGTGGTCAGGCACTCCCATTTCTTTAAGGACTTGCCATAGTTTGCTGTGGTCCACACAGTCAAAGGCTTTTGCGTAGTCAATGAAGCAGAAATTTTTCTGGAAACCTCTGGCTTTCTATAGGCTTAGGCACATTTAAATCATCTGCATGGGATTAGGCTTTAAAGGTCAAAAAGTGCCAAGTCAAACAAATCCAGTAAATCACACATGCTTGATCATCATTTTTCCAACTAATTAGAGACAAAAATCTGATCCTAGATTACCTGGACCATTGGATTTTTTTTTCATAAATTATTGTAATCTCTATTACTTGGGGGAAAGTGGCCAGAAATTTAATTAGGCCTGGCAGCCAACCAATAGATATTCTATAGGTATGTTGTGCCTTCCTTTTCCGGTTGCAGTCCCCTTTGCTCTCTAACAAGTTGGTCCTGAAGATTGGGGGTACCCTCTAGGAAAGCACAGGATAAAGAGGGGTTGTAGCTGGAAGGAGAAATATGAAAAATCTCTTCATACAAAAAGTTCTTCAGATTGTACATATTGGTTAAAAACAGTTGCATAATGAAAGCCAACTAATATGTTATGTTACACAACAGGGTTTCAGCCATTGTTTCTAATGATCTGTAAGAACTGGCTACCCAAAAATTTCTTCTTTCACAGAAGTCTGTAACATAACAGCACTGATGTTACCTGTCTGTCATGGGTTTGGAGGGAAAGTTCCATCCTATGGGGAGTGGAAGGCGGGACATCAGGAGGAGGGGCTGTACTGTATAAATATGTGATGCCTGTGTGGTGAAGAGTAGATGCTGAGACAGACTGTGAGACACTGGGTTGGGACGAAGCAGCAGCTGGGGAAGAAGAAGCTGTTGTGGGAGTCTGTGTGTCTGACAGGGTACTACTGTGTGTCAGAGTACCAGCCTGAAAGGTTCAGGGGTCTGTTGGTTAGGCAGAACTGATGGGTTCAGGGTCTGTGCTTTAAGTTAAAGGTTCTAGGTGAACCAAACTGTATGCTTGTGTGTGTGAGAATAAGCCACGTTACTTTATTTTATTCACCTGATTGTTTTATTTACCCTGTTTGTATTTAAAATAAACCTTATTCTTTTGTTGTTTAAAAATCCATCCCTGGTCTGTGTGACTTATTATAGGGAATGGTTGGTGGCAGCTTAGTAACTGTGTGATAGATCCCAGTAGGTCTGGGTTTGTCACAAGGTGCACTGCTGCAAGTTTGAAAATGGACAGGATGGGAAGTGAGGTATAGACGAGAAAGAGGTTAGTAATGATCCAGAACATCATGTGTTTAATTAGAGGACTGAAGGAGAGAGAAAGCAGGGGAGAACACAATTGTTTGTGTGTGCCTGCTGTGTGGTTCTTGTGTATGATTTGATGCAACCTTCATTTGGTGGGGAAAGACAGCTTTAGAGATGACTCAAAGAATTAATTGGCTTGTTTTTCTGTAAAATAGGTTGCTTGTTAAATTCTGAAACTATGGATTCAAATAGGGGGTTTGGATCCTGGAGCTCAGGTTCCATATGTGCTTTGTATTTCAGATTATAGGGCAAACTGTCCTTAATCCTCACCACTATGTCTTCTTGGAAAATTTGTTGTTGTTTAGTCGTGTCTGACTCTTCGTGACCCCATGAACCAGAGAACATCAGGCCTTCCTGTCTTCTTGGAAAATTAGTGTTTTGTAACTGGCTGTACCCATCACAATAGCCATTAGGAGAACAGCAGCTTCCTCATAGCACCTGTTTCATGACTGCATTTATGACACCTATTCAGAATTCCAAATAGGTTGGAGATTCTGGCCAGAGACGTTTCCATTTCCATTCACCAGTGTGTTTTTCACAAGCTGCTTCTCTAGGCTAGAGAGGCTGCAAACAACCCCATAACACTTATAGCAAAGTGAATTATTTCAAGCAACAAGGAGAGCAAGACATATTTCAACTACCAGTACCTGTACTATTAAAATTTTCACTTCCCCCTCCACTTTGATTAATAGGTCACTTAATAGGGCTCCTTTCTCTTAATTTTGAATGGCAGGATGTTTCCCACTTACAGGGATCTTTTTTTGCATCCATGATATAAATAAAGGTATGGAATATGTCAAGAAATTACAAAATGAATGCTTTTAAACACCCACCAGACTAAGCTGAAATTTAAAAATAAAACTAGTAGCCTTAAACCATCACTGTTCAGAGAAGAATTAATGAACTTATCTCTTTTTAAACGAGATTCTTCTCTATATCTGCTTTGTAGAACAGGAGTTATACGATTCGTACAAGCAACAGTGAAATCCCGACGTATTATTCAACAAGGTGTGTACTGAAAACCCCCTGCAGACCCACCATATCCAAAAGGTAGGAGCTACCAATATAGAGATATCCCGACGTATTATTCAACAAGGTGTGTATTGAAAACCCCCGGAAGACCCACCATACCAATTGATATTTTTTTCAATATAGAGATAGAGAGATAGAGAGAGAGTGTGTGTGTGTGTCTGTCTGTCTATAGAATGAATGAAAACAAAACTACTTCGGTTATACAAAGAAGGCTTATTTCCTATAAATAAAGTTTTTTTTCCTGTGTGTGTGTGTGTGTGTGTAAAAGTAATGAAAACAAAACTACTTCGGTTATACAGGGAAGGCTTATTTCCTATCAATAAACATTCCCAGAGAGGTGCAGTACTGACCCCCGGCCGAGGAAATGTAAGCCTTCAATTCATCACCGGGAAAATGTGGAAACGAATACAGAGAGTAGCAGTAAATGCCATGTGAAGAGAGTTGTGTGTGTGTGTGTGTGTGTAAAAGTAATGAAAACAAAACTACTTCGGTTATACAGGGAAGGCTTATTTCCTATCAATAAACATTCCCAGAGAGGTGCAGTACTGACCCCCGGCCGAGGAAATGTAAGCCTTCAATTCATCACCGGGAAAATGTGGAAACGAATACAGAGAGTAGCAGTAAATGCCATGTGAAGAGAGTAAAGCAAAAGCAGGCTAAAGAAAGAAACAGAAGCAGAGAAAAGAGCCACCTCTTCGGCGAGGAGCAACCCCACGAGGAGACACCCAAACCACAGTCGCCTCACCTACTCGTGACCCCGTTCGGTTCAACAAACGCCCGCAACCAACGGCCGCCACCGCCATCCCAACGAGCCCTTTTCCCTGCGGCCCCAACGGAACCGGAAGCATGGAGCCAAGGGGACGGAGCATCGACACACTGAAGCCGGCAGGAAACAGGCGCGCCACTTTTTAGGGCCGCTCTTGCTGTGCCTCCGAACTGTGGGGGAGCGTCTCCCTCAGAGAGTTTCCCCCTCTGTACTTACGCGAGGCTGCCGTGATGGCGACGCCGGTTGAGAAGTTTGTCCTCCGGCAGCTGGAGTTGCTTCAGGAGGAAAGAGAGGCCGAGATTTCGGAAGCAAGGTAGCAACTGCTTTTCTAGGCTGCCCGGGAATAATGAGGAGGGGGGGTCCGTTTATTTATAAAGCCCTTTAAAACTAATTACAGTATCCATTTTGGTATTTATAAGCATCTTTCTTCAGAAAGTGTACTATACGGCTGAGATCAGGTATTGAGCTGCAATCAACTATAGATATTTCGTAAGGATTCAGACCAGTTCAGCATGGTGGAGCTTTATGTTTAATTCAGTATGAGTAGGAATGCACGACACCTGGAGTTTTTTTGTAATTAGATTTATAATTCACACCTGGCGGCCTTAAATCTCCCCCTCTTTACGTCGTTCGCTGAAGTCTAATGAGAAACTGATAGGCCCTACACGTATAATGATACTAATAGTGCTTGAAAACTTAAGGCTGTATCCCACTACATTATTTTCTGCTTTTTCTTTTCCCCCGAGTTGCAATAAAATAGTCCAAACAGGTGAAGCCACATGGATCCAGATGTCCTTTATTTACACAAGTTGCTGCAGAGTCCTATTAACGTAGAAGTAAGTCTTACACTGTCCAATACAATGTGCTTCTAAATAAGTAAGCACTGCAAAACCTCACCTGGAAATATATCTGTTAGACTAACAGGTGTATTTCCAGGTGAGCTTTTGCAGAACAAAGTCCTGTTTCTCAGATGCAAGGAAGTAGCTTTTGAGCCACAAAACTTCACGCTGACATCTTTGAGTATTTAAAGTGCCATAATAGTCTCTCTTTCTCCCCCCTCCACTTCTACTCTAATTTTGCCAACATCCTGAAATAGGGTAATATAATTACTGTATTATTATTTTTTGGAAATCACTGTGAAGTTTGCATCAAGTCTCTTTGACCACTTTGAAAAGTTGCTCTTTGAAAAAATCAGTCACTTATGTGGTAATACTTTTAACACAATTGCCTCTGTCAGATATAGCAAAAATAGCTTTTATTTTTCTTTCAGCAGTATGGAACACAACGTGAGCTAGCACTTCAGCTGTTTCAGTGGGGCCACACGTGTAACTATAAAACTAACCAAAAGTTGCAGTTAATCTCTAAACTCATATTCTTGATAGACTTTCTCATTACCAGCCCAGTTGGTTAAATCCACTACCCCACTGAGCATCATCTTCCACTAGACTTTTTCAGATTCTTAAGTGCAAAGCCTCAGTTCCATAGCAAACATGAGTAAGGCAGCCACAGTTGTCTTAGGCTCTTGCAACAGAAGGCAGTCTCAAAATAATAAGACCCCTAGGCAAACGCCTGTGTGCCAAGAACTTTGAGTTCAGTTCCATACATGCAGTGGATCTCCAGGTGTGTTTTTCAAACAGCAGCCAGAAGCAACTTATTAATTCAGAGCCTTCTCATTCTTCAGACTCTAGGGCCTAGAGCAAAGGAGAAAGCAGCCTGTTTAAAGAGGGTGCACCCGTATTTATTGCTCAGATTTGCCCCTGAGGTAACATGTCAAAGAGAATGGAGCAACCTCTCATCCTGAGATATAGTTAAGACTTTGTTGTTCCTTAGTAAGCACTGGTATGTCAGTGGGTAGTGTGGATGCTGAATATTTTCCTATTTACAATTACAAAGAGACAGAGAAAGAGAGATAAAAAATGTGAAGCAACCATGGTTGGACTGACAGAAGCTACATATATATATATATAGGTAGTTGAGGTAGTTCAAAGCTAACAAGCAGATCACTTCAAGAATGTCTGATACAGCTGCCAGTTATTACATTTGTTTTGTCTGATAGTCACGGCACATTTTTAATACGTATATTTTCCTTACATTTGCTATTTGTTTTTTCCACTGTATTCTTTCTGTAGTTTTTCTTTCATCTTTTGTTCATTTGGAAGTCTCCTGCTTAGCTTTTGGACTAAGCTGAAATGAAAAAGGAGAGGAGATGTGAGGGAAAGATGGTTGTAAAAAGAGCCATGTTGACCCAGATCATGATATAGCATTCTGGATCCCTACAAAAAGCCCATGGCAAGAGAGGAGTACAACAGCATCCTTCAGATTGTGTTCTCTGGTAGTCGGTGTTCAGAAAAGTATTGCTAGGTGCAACTTGCCTTTTCTTTCCTCTGTACTCAGATACTCATAGTGAGTCTTCAGATGCTGTGTAGCATAGAGTCAGCCATCTTGTGACTTAGTATTAAAAATGCAGAATAACATTGCCAGGCATCAAACAGGTAGTTGCCAAGGGATATTTGCTAGGCCTTTCCTTTACTTATATATCAACTGTAATTGTTATGTCCCAACAGACTTGAGTGTCATTTAGTATTATTGTCTGTCCCAGACAATGTTTCTGTGCTGTCAATCAGCATTTCATTGAGGGACAGATGATGACCAAGTTTCTCAGTTTGTATCATAGATTAGTTGTTGCCTTGTCTTTCTCCTTCTGCTTTTTTTCAGGATATGGCAGGAGAGCATCTCCCTGAAAGAACTGCAGCGAAGAGGAATATGCTTGCTGAAACTTGAAGTAACCAGTCAAAAAACTGGGTTGTATGGCCGTCTGCTTCTAACTTTACAACCTAGAAAACATGGTTCCGAGTCACAGCTGCCCAGTAACAGCTTTGGGCCTGGTGGGTAAATATTCCTTGACTTCAAAAGAAGATAATTTGAAAGGCTAGAATTAGATTTAGATTAAGTTCTTTCACATCACGAAAACTTCTTTTATCCATACAATTATTATTTTTCACTGAGATTTGTAGACCTGTCTAGTGTTTATGTAGAATCTGCCTGTTTATGTTGTATTCCAGAGCAACTGTCTGCATACTGTATTATAGATTATAGTTGTATTCCAGAGCAACTGTCTGCATACTGTACAGTATTATAGATTATAGTTTTAGTTGTTGTTGTTGTTGTTTTTTTGAGGCTGCCAGCATTTTAACCTCATCTTCAGGAGCCCTGCTGACTCAGCTTCCAGAACAATAAGATTGGCAGAGACTATACCTTTTCTGTGTTGGCATCTATTTTGTGGCATTTATTTACATCTGATCTCTTGTGATTGTTAAGAGGCCTTAAAAGACTTCAACAGCTTTCTCTTTCTTTTTTAACTGAAAGTTTTTAGTGCTTGTGGTGGCTTTTTTATGGGCATTGTGTAAGTTCCCTGAGCTAGCTTGAATTCTGAACTGTATTTTCCTGTAGGACATTTATTATAAATTGGTGGTTAGTTATTGGCATTGCAGTAGGAATAATGTGTTGCAGCAGAAACTGTGGGCCAAATACAAGTATTCCTGTCAACTAGAGTGGACCATTGAATAACTAAGATTTACCTAGCTGATGACTTTGTGAGGTGCCATTGATTCGGTGGGTCTATTCTGAGTCTGTTTAGCTGGGATTAACTATTGAATTTAGGTCAATATGCTATGTTATTATTGCAAGTCACCTTGGGAAAATTGATCTTAAAATACATAACATCGAAAAGGACCAACTGAATGAATGAATGATAAATAATAAAGGGGTTAGCCCTGTGGAGCAGGCCATTATGACTCCAGTGCACTTGCTCTTAATGATCTTGTTCCATTTCTTGATTTTTAAATCTTGAACGTGCTTGTCTTATATTTGTTCTTTACAAAGAAACCAGTTTTTACTTGAGTCAGGAAATGATGTACTGTATTGTAAAGCACTCATCTCTATATTACAGATGAAAAGCTACTGTTAGAATCAAATGTGGGCAAATGGTATAGTTTTCCATTGGTGAAAGGGTCAGACACGTGTTTATTTTACTTCCTTTTCAGTTCAACCTGTATGCAGAATATGCAGTATGAAAAAATGGATTAGGTTCAAGTAAATGAAGATTGGGAATTGGTGAAGGAATCATCAGAAATTTAAAAGATGCAGATGACATTGATAGAAAACGTCAATGGCATGAAATGACTATTGATGAAAGAAAAAAATTGAAAGGATTACAGTTGAACATGAAAAAGATAAATTAACACAGAAGAACCGCATATCTTGAATACTGATGATGAAGAAATTGAAATTGCTAAAGATTCCTTATACTGTACCTTGCTTGGTTCAATCATCATTCAAATGAAGACTCCTGTAAAGGAATAAGAAAAAAATGTGTGTGGGAGGCCTTATACTGTACCTTGCTTGGTTCAATCATTCAAATGAAGACTCCTGTAAAAGAATAAGAAAAAAATGTGTGTGGGAGGGTTGCTATGAGAGAACTGGAAAAGATGCTTCAGAATAATGTCATAGTATTCCCAGTTTCTACGTGTGGATATGAAAGTTTGAAATGAAGAATGTTGACAGGAAAAAAATAGATTCATTCATTCAAAATGTGATGTTAGAGGAGAGCTTTATTCAGCCAAAATCTGGCTTCCTGTAACTTGAGCCCATTATTGTGTGTCCTGCAGTCTGGGATGATCCAGAACAGATCCTGCCCCTTTTCTGTCTTTCAAGTGTTTGAAAAGTGCTATCATCTCTCCTCTTAGTCTTCTTTTCTCAAAGCTAAAGATGCTCAGTTCTTTGAGCCTTTCCTAACAGAACTTGGTTTTCAGTCCCCTGATCATTATTGTTACCCTTATCTGAACTTTCTAGTCCTCTTTAACTTTCTTAAAGTGTCAATATATTCGCGAAGGCTTTCACGACCGGGATCTAATGGTTGTTCTGGGTTTTTCAGGCTCTTTGGCCATGTTCTGAAGGTTGTTATTCCTGACGTTTCGCCAGTCTCTGTGGCTGGCATCTTCAGAGGACAGCAACCTGTCTTAAAGTGTGGTGTCCAGAAATGGATATAGTACTCAAGATTAGATCTAACCAGTGCTGGATACAGGGGGACTAGTACTTCATTGGATTTCGAGACTATACTTCTGTTAACATGGCCTAAAATTGCATTGACCTTTTTTTTTTTTAAAGCCACATCACACTCTTGGCTCATATTCAGCTTGTGACCTGCAAGAGTTTCAAGATCTTTCTTGCATGTAGTGCTACTGTACATTTGTTTTTGGTTTTTTTTCCCTCCTAGGTGTAGAACTTTGTACTTACCCCTGTTAAATTTCATTCTGTTATTTTCGGTCCAGTGCTTGAGCCTATCAAGATCTTTTCGAATTTTGTTTTGATCTTCCACGGCATTAGCTGTTCTACCAAATTTTGTGACATCTGCAGATCTAAAAAACATTTCTTGCACTCCCTCATCCAAGTCATTAATAAAAATGTTGAAGAGCACCAGGCCTAGGACTGAGCCTTATGGCACCCCACTGGTTACTTGGGTGTATATGGAGAACAATTCCAGGAGAAGAGAATGAAAGACACTAAAGTTAAATGCTGTTGATTAGAGAAACACTAAGGGGAAATTCTTCCTTACTATAGACAATCAGACAAATTTCTACTTGTACTACCTCTTCAGCACTGCTGACTGGTGTACATGGTAATTTGGGAATAGTACATTATTTTTACCCTTTGCTGTCTGAAAATAGAAGACTATTTGGAAGTAGGTTTGTACGGTGTTAGATAAACATGTGTTTGGCAAAGTGTCTCTATAGAGACTCAGAAAAGCACATAATCTTTCCGTGCTCTGTTTCCAAAAGAGCCATGTTTTCTGCTATGTGGCATAAAAGCCAGCATGAGCTAAAGATATTGCCTGTTGCATTTACAGTTGCTAGTGACAGAACAGTTTCAGTTATGCAGAGCTGTGCTTTTCCTTTAAGGAACAAATATTTCACCAAGAGAAAGGAGGCAGCCATGGGGCGGAGGCGGGTGGAAACGCAGAAGGAAACTAAAATTAAAATGCGCCTTTCCTATATTGTAAATGTGCAGTATCCATCCAAATGAAGGTGACATTTCTTGCTGAGTTAGGCAGAGTGCATTGATTGAATCATGACAGTTTAAATTGGCAGTTCCCATCTTAATTGAAGATGCCTAACAGCCTATATTTAGGTGAATGGTGTTAATCAGTTTTATTGGCGCCTGAATTACTTTCTGTAGCAGATGCGTTCTCCCTGGTTGCTACAATCAATTGTTTTTGCTTGTTTTTAGAACTAATTGGTATTTATGCTTGAACTTAAGTTTGTTTTGGAAACAAAAATGTTTTGGAAATAAATACATATACACAAGTATCTGTTTTGTTTATGTAGCCTATCCACAGGGACCTCCTATCAGCATCTAACTCTCAGGACGTACTTTGGAGAATCCTGCCCAGCCATTCCTGACTCTGAGTGACTCAGGAACAGAACTGGGTGAAGTTCTTTAAGAGCAGTCTCTGAAATGCTCAGTAATGCTTGATGCATTCGTTGCCTTGGGCTGTAGTCTACCAAAAGCTTGTGCCTAATGAATTTGCTCCTCTTTCAGGTGCCACAGGACTGCTCTCTTGGCTGAGAGGCTGAGTGGGCCTTTGAAGGGTAGAATTTCTCAGATTTGGCATTTTCTGAGTTCATACGCTGCCTTCACTTTGCTTTTCTCATGAGGAAATATTTGGTTAAAGCTGCCTCTTGCAGAAACAAGTGTGTATCTGACCGTTTTTGCTGTATCAGACATTGAGTCTGCAGAATAACCAATAGCTTTATGTTATGTACGGCAGTACAGTACCGGTTTGGGATCACAGCACCTCTGGGTTATTATTCTAAAGGCTAATGAAGTATAAGCTAGATTGGGAGAAAAAGACTCTTGGAAAGTGCTAAGAGAACCGTAATGCAGCCAGTCAGTTTAAATGGTTGCTGTGCTTCAGATGCACAATGCTTTCTCTTTCTTATGTCCTCTTCCTTACCTTCAGTGTTACTTACCCAGTGAGGGTTTCTGCTGTGCCAGAAATCTGACCTTAATAATTATGTGTATTTTCTGCAAAGGTCTAGATCTCATTCAGGTGTTATGAAATAACGACAGGAAAAGTGGCTGCATGTTATACCCACCTCCTCCTTGCACATTTCCATTGCTCCTCTTAGGCGAAGAACAATTTTCTGAAGAGGAGAGAGTGTCATCTGTGCATTGGAGCTCTTTTCTCCTCTTCAGGTTACTGTCCCTGTGAGGAGAGCAGTGGAAAAGGTGACAGAGAAAGTTGAGTTGGCGTGCTTTGTGGCCCAAGGGATTTGCTCTGCACAGGAACTGTCACCCACATAACCTCCAAATGCTTAAGTAGGGCTTTGTAACGCTTATATACTCCATCTGTGGCTTCATGGGAACTGTGCTAGCTTGTATCCATGAGGACTATAGAGCATTGCTTTTGAAATATCTGATATTATCTCTAGCACCCTACACATTTAGAAATGTTAAATCAGTGTTAAGATGAGAATATGTTAGGTACATATCTGCAGTTCTATTTGTGCTTTTTCAGTTCTGGCTTTAAGGGAACTTAAGAGAATTTTGAGCAACTTTTTCATCTGGGTCTTGGTGAGGTCATGTGGCGAACTAGTAAATGCCAGGGGCTTGTATTGGATATAGTCAGTTATATAGAGCTGGATGTGAACTGCAGTAATCTCTGAGGATGGGAATGCTTGAGAGTAGAGAATAGGGACAATTTGAACCATAGCTCAGTTACAGAGTGCATTATTTCCTATACTGTATAGAAGGTACCTGGTTTGATCACCGCCTAGACTGAGGATCCATAGCAAGTGGTGGGAAAGACATGTGCCTGAGATATTGGGAGAATTCCTGTCATTCACTGTCAATAACTGCTAAGTTACAAAAAGTCTAGCCTGATATAAGGCAGCTCTTCTGCTAGCCTCCTAAGATGTAGTCTGAATTTTCTTCTTTGCTGGTGATTTATCTTCTGCAGGTGACATTGTGGGACTTTACGAAAGTGGCGGCCCAGGGGATCAGCTCTGCACGGGAACTATCACCCACATAACCTCCAAATTAATTACTGTTGCAATTGATGAGCCTCAGAGCAACCTTGTAAGCTTGGACCAAGAGAATGTCTATCGTCTGCTGAAACTTGCCAATGATGTCACCTACAAAAGGCTTAAAAGGTAACGCTGCTAACATAGGACAGGTTTGGGATCATTATGTATTTTAAACATAGAATCCTCTCATAATGTAACAACGTTTCATGTCTTCTGAAAAGGTAACAATGAGGTGGGGATGGTACTTGGTCTTCATCCTTAACCATTTCTACCTCCCTTTCCAAAAAATGCCAAAGTGCAAAGTCTAGATGTAATAAGCTTTTATTATTATTATTTAACTAAGTACCTGTACTGGGACAGGTGATCTTCCTCCCATATGGCTCCTATAGGCTGAAGTAACAAAGCCATACCCAGCTCTTGAATCTTACAATAAATGATTGACATGAAAGAGGCTATAAAACTGATTTTTCAGTTTTGAATTTCAGAATGATTTCTAGGTTCAGCGCCTGCCCAGCTCTTTTACTTGAGGGAATATGAATCAGCTTTATATTCTTCAGCACCTGCATATGAAAATAACCTGAGACGTTCTCCTTTTGAAGAGTGTATCGGACTGATGCAGTGGCCTCCAGATGGCTAGGGCAATATCGTATAAACATACCTTTCTGTCTGTGGTTCCTGTTGGACATGGCTAGAAACTGTGTAGTTCTACAGGGTTTAGGAAGGATATATCTGCATGTACAGTTCAAGGCTTGGCAACTGTTGGGGCTGGGAGAGATAACAGGGAGAGGAACCTATTTTAACTTCCCTAATCTCATTGACCTGGCTGGAGAGCTCATTGAGTTAAGAATGGGCGTTCAATTCCCCACTGTGCCTGTGGCTCTTGTGAGTAGAGCCAGACTGTGTGACCTTCGGCAAGGGTGACAGTCCCAGAAGAACAGAATGGTAATCCACTTCTAAGTGTTCTCTACCTGGAAAACTCTGAAAAGGGTTGTCATACTTGACAGCACATGATTATTATAATTTTTAATGTCACTGAATTCATTGACAATTCTTTTGTGTTCTTGCAAACTGTAGATTTTGCGGCCATCCTGTAATAGTTTAAGAAGAATTTCAGTATTCATGTAAGGTTTTACTTTTACTTTTTCTGAGCTTTAAAGGAATTAACTTTGAGATTTTCATATTTTGTATTCTTTTTCTTATCAGGGCTTTGAATGCACTTAGTCAGTATCAATCTGGTCCAGCATCTGGTCTCATTGACATCCTTTTTGGTGGTGCTGAGCCTCGTGAAGTTGGCAATACAAGTAAGAATGTATTTTTTTCCTTTATTAGTTGTGGGCACAAATTTGAATTTTTTGGAGACTTCGGAAGTGACTACAGTACTAAGTGTTCTAACCATGAGATGCAAAATATATTGTGTTGCCAAGCCCCCTGGGAGTCCTACAGTTGCATGGAAGAAAATCACAGCTGGAACACCTGGTGCTGGGTCAGCCCTTCCTCTGCTTATCCTTACTCACAAGCCTTCCATTTCATTTATGTGCACTGTATGATCTTAAATAGTTATGACATAAAGGGTAGGAGCATGTATCTGTGCAAGTATTGTTGAAAAACATCACCAATATGATGGCTCTCTAAAGACACATCATTTAAACCAGTAGACATTGCCACACGTTGACCAGAGACTAACTTCTTGCTAAATGAACTAGACAGCACCACTAAGGTTGTTCATGAGATGGGAGGGGTTGAGTCTTGATAGTCCTGGTGCTATTGACTGTGACACTATCACTCTCAATTATGGTACAACGTCAGGAACTGTGTTCCTGCTGGCTAGGTGGGTAAATAAAGCCTTGCAAAGTTGCTTGCTGGGTAATTACTTAGTCACCACACAATAACTTTTTTGTTCACCAAGAGGTAATAGTGGGATGTGGGCAAGTCAGGATCTAGTGGTAGATCTCTTGGTACTTTGCGGCAGAGACATAAGGCTTCTGACTCAAAATTATTTTTTTTAAAAAACATTGGGGGAGAGACTTTCTCCACTCCACATTAGGCAGCTGCAATGAAGACTGCATGGAAAAGTAGGAATGAATTTTGGCCAAAAAAAACCCCTTATCAGTTTTGTGACTGCTATTAAATTACTGGGTTGAGCATATTAATTTGAACTATATGTTTGATTCTGGAACCACTTTTTTTATTTCCATATTATTGGTAGATCTTGGAATTCTTGCAAAAGCATAGTACATGCTGTAAACCTGAGGTCCCCACACCCTTGTCACAGGGTATGCTTGAGCTGTCATTGCTTAGCAGTTGTGCACTACAGCTGAAAGCCTGTAGTAAGTAGCAATTAGAATAGGCCCACTGAATCAGTGGACCTGTAGTGAGTCAACATTTGTTTAAGTTCCATTGATTCATTGGGCTTGCTCCTTTTGGCTCAGGGACAGTCAGCGGCTATTAGCCTGCATGGTTGCAAGATCTAGGTCAGCCCCTCCGCAACTCAACCTCTGTAACTTTCATTCATTTTAATGGGTCTCCATGGTATTGCATCATACGAATTACTCTTTCCTGTTGTCTTTTATCCAAAATTCATTTGTGCACAAAACACCCTAATTTGTACACCACAATAGGCATTTGTATTTAATGAATGTATTATAGGTGCTTTCCTTACTGTGTGAGTGAAATAATCCAGTTGTTCTCAAGAGAATAGCTGGGAAGGAAATTTCATGTACCATCTCATTTCTAGTGAGCAATGTGGTACCTAACAGGTATTCTGATCCAGTCATTGAATAAAGTGGGCAAATTCTTTCTGAGGCAGGTATTTTCTAGAAGGATTAGTTACTGTGTCTGTAGGCCAAGGTGCATTGTAGGAATGCTTGCGGTAGAGCTCTTGTGACACTATTATCATTTGGAATGTAGTTGAAATACCAGAGTTAACATGTCTGAATGTCAGTTGTTACAAGCTTACAGAAAGTTAGCTCTGAAGGGAGAAAGTGAGGCCTTGCCTAGGATTTCTGAATCTCATATAAATGATAGCTGATCACCACCAGAGGTCAGTGTTCTCCTTTGAGCAACACCTGTGTAGTCACCACGCTGTACCTACTTCTAGTTTTATTTTTGTCTTTTGCCAAAATGCGCTCAATCCATTCTGTGTTCAGTATGAATGTTTCTCTCCCCCTCCCCACCCTGCAACAAGGGGAGAAGTCTTGGTGCTGTTGGACAGTGTAATAGCAATTTCTTCATTTTAAAGATCAGGATGGTCCTGAGCGGTGACATCAGTTCCTCGCTTGTGTGTCACATTGCTGCCCAGAGAAGGTAATAACCAGGGCTTCCAGAACTTCTGAGCTGCCTCTTAAAAGTCAAAGTGACCCCACTATCCTGCTCTTCCTTGCCTACTTGTCCAGATTTCAGAACTCACCTGTTAGCATAATATCTTGAAAGATCTTGACTAGAGCTTAACTACTGCCGTCCAGATCTTCAGCTCCTCTTTTGGATGGGAACGGCATAGCCTGCTTGTCCTAGACCTGTCTATGCCTTTTGAACATTTAACTAGCTTTGATAGACAGTTAGGTCCAGAAATAATTGGACCCTGACACAAGTTTTGTTATTTTGGCTGTTTACCAAAATAAATTCAAGTTAACATTGAAGTAATGAATATGGGCTTAAAGTGAAGTCTCTCAGCTTTAATTTGAGGGTATTCACATCCAAATTGGAGGAAGGGTTTAGGCATTACAGCTCTTTAATATGTAGCTCCTTCTTTTTAAAGGGACCAAAATAATTGGACAAAAGCTGTTTTATGGACAGGTGTGGGCTCTTCCACCGTTATTTCATCAGGTAAAAGATCTGGGGTTGATTCCAGATGTGGCATTCACATTTGGAAGCTGTTGCTATGAACCCACGACATGCATTCTGCTTGCCAGTTCTGCTTGCCAGTGAAGCAATCTATCCTTTGGTTGTAAAAAAGAAAAGGAAAAGAAACCCATTGGAGAGATAGCAGGAACATCAGGAGTGGCTAAACCAACAGTTTGGTATGTTCTGAGAAAAGAAAAGAAAAAGAATTGCACTGGTGAGCTCTGCAACAAAAGAAGTCCACAGAAGACTCTTGTGGTGGATGATTGTAAGATCCATTTCCATTGTAAAGGAAAAAACCTAGCTCTGCAACAAAAGAAGTCCACAGAAGAATCTTGTGGTGGATGATTGTAAGATCCCTTTCCATGGTAAAGGAAAAAAACCCTTCACAACATCTAGCCAAGTGAAGGACACTCCCAGAAGGAAGGCACATCCTTATCCAAGTCTGCCATCAAGAGAAGACTTCACGAGCGCAAATACAGAGGGTTCACCACAAGGCGTAAACCATTCATAAGCCTCAAGAATCGAAAGGCCAGACTCGACTTTGCCCCAAAAAATCTGCAAAAGCCAGCCCAGTTCTGGAACAGCATTCTTTGGAGAGATGAAACTAAGATCAACCTGTGCCAGAATGATGGGAAGAAAAAAGTATGGAGAAGGCTTGGAACAGCTCTTGATCGGAAGCATACCACATCATTTGTAAAACATGGTGGAGGGCCTGACAGGCTGAGTCACAAAAGGAATAAAACATTCTTTGTTGCCCAGAGATGCTTTCCAGAGCAGTGGTGTACACAACTGTAGGCCTTCCAGAATTAGATACCTTAGGGGCTGCCTGCTCCATTTCTAACACTGGTAATATTTGAATAAAACCATTAACAGTGTGATTCTATGCATGTCTACTCAGAAGTGACCCCTCCCCCAGTTGCAATCCTGAACATACTTAATGAGCGTTAAGCCCCTTCAAACATAGTGTCGGAGTAGACATGCAGTGGATTTTAGCATAAGTCTTATAAATGAGTGTCTGTGTATTTGCTTTGAAGATATTTAATTTTATGTCTTTAACACTCGGAAGGTGTGTTTAGACTGTGTATAAACATAAATAGTAAATCCTTTTCCATTTCCCTCAACTGTGGGAGATGGTTGTGAGACTTTGCAGAATGTTTACATCTCTAAATGTTTCTAGATATGAAAGAAAAGAAAGGAAAAAATGTTCCTGCCAACCTGTTTGAAAGTCATACATTTAAAGAAAGTAATTTCAGAGAGACAGAGAAGGCCCTGACTCAAAATATGTTAGAAGAGAGAATCAACTGTGATTTATAGTAAAGCTTGCTTTTGTCTCCCTCATGTCAGGCAATCATAAACCATTACCTCTGTGCTGCCGAGAAATCCATCAGAATCCCTGGGTAATATCTATCACAGAATTACTTGTTGTCATTCTGTCAAGTAAGACTTTGACACTTACAGGTTGAAAAGGACATGACTGAAGTTCCATTTGTTTTCTGTTTGCTTCATGCACTTGGTTCCATTCTGCACCTGATGGACATGAGGAAGGATTTTGTTTCCCTACCGTTCTTTCTTACAACAATTTGGATCTATTCAAAAACTCCCAAATCTTCCTTCCTTCCTTCCTGATGGTTTTAATACTGATGGTCATAAAATATTATCTAGAAGTTGAGGTATGGGAGGTACAAGACCCTCTTGAACTGTAAACATGGGGCAGTTTCTTTATAAAATGGATATCTGATGTTTAAAAGTCTGCTAAGTGAATGCTTTAAGCTCTTCAAGTGTTCATAGCAAAAAAAAAAATTAAAGTCAAACTGCATCCTATATGCAGAACTGAATTCCTTTTCTCCCAGCAGAAAACAGAATGAAATAAGGAAAAGTGGCTTGGATTTGGCCTTGCTTCAGAGATTCCAGCAATCAGAAATTTAACATGAACTTACATGTATTACATTTTATCAAGCTTTGTTCTAACAGCTATGCTTAGAGAGGAGCTGTGTGTAATTCTGTGTGTTGCCTCCTATGCTTTAATTATTTAATATTCAGGGAAACTAGCACAGTTAACAAGGCCCTAAAATGGTCTTGTTGTGAAACTGTACCACTGGCAGCTCCCTTCCTGCTGCAAAACAGCTTCAGAGGTGCATCACAGTTGGTCATTCAGTAGAAATGCCCAAAGCTAAATAGATTTGGAGACTGTCTTCTTCTCCTGCTGTCTCCAATGAGCAGCCTCTTGACAGCTTGCTTTGGCAAAGATAGCACAGCTGCCCTTTTAATGCACCAGTTCTTAGTGCATAAGGGGAAATTAAATTGTCCATTCAGAGTCTTTTGTCAGCCTGAAATTAAAAGTGTGCGTTCCATGCAGAATTTGCCAAACTTATAATGACAAAAGCACCTACTTACTGCTTTGTGGAAACCACTTCTTACAATTTAATTGGTTTCCTCTGGACCTTGGAAACTAAATGTTGCCCTGCTTATTACAGTGACGTCAAACTGAGGCACAGAGACACCAAAGTCACAGCCCTCCTTCTTTGTTTTAATTTTCATAATAGAAAGGGTAATGTTGAGGTAATGATAATAACAATAAATAGTAAAAATGTGAAATCTTGAAATGCAGATATTACTCATCCATAAGTAAGGATGGGTGGACATTTTTAGAAGAGTGAAATTTCTCTGAAAGTGGTCTTACTACATTCAAAATAAAAGCGTTTTTCCCTCCCAAAGATAGTCTTGGGTGTATGTGTGTGTATTTTTTCATGTTTGAAGCAGAAGCTTGACTTATGTGATATCGGTTAGCAGCCCTTTCCCATATCATCAAGAGAAACTATATTCCTACTCAAAGTAGTATCACTCTTTTAAAAAAATCTTTAAAGTGGTGGTAAATAAAGAATAAATGCATGTTTGTTCCTTTATAGTGTTTTTAAAAATAATTGCAAACATATGGATAAGTCATTTGAAGCTTGTAGTACTGCTGGAGCATGTTCTGTTTGTCATTAGGCACATAATTGCAAAGTTTGACTTGCCTCTTAGCAGAGATGTGTTAGTTCTTATATTGTATTTGACTTCACCACAGGTGAAGTGAGTTGTAATTTGCAATAACAATCCTGTTTTAAACTTTGTATTCTTCCTGCAGCAACATAGCCTGTGGGTAGACCCTGCTTCTATAATGATAGCTGCAAAATCCTGGAACCATTGTTTAAAAATGGATATATAAACCAGGGAAATATACTTTAAGCTTCAATGAGATGTACTTACCTGGGCTAAGTACCACTGAATGTATCCTTAAAGCGGATGTTTAAAAATGGACAGTAGGAAGGACACAACAATTAACTGCCTTTTGTAGAAAACTGGTTGCTATTGTTTTTGTTTGAGTCAGCAAATATGTTGGAGAGGTAATGGTGTAATGGATAGATTGATGGATTAGGGCTCAGGAGATCTGAGTTAAAATACCTACTTGGGCATAGAAACTCACTGGGGATTGGTGATGAAGGACACAACAATTAACTGCCTTTTGTAGAAAACTGGTTGCTATTGTTTTTGTTTGAGTCAGCAAATATGTTGGAGAGCCCATGTGGTGTAATGGATAGATTGATGGATTAGAGCTCAGGAGATCTGAGTTAAAATACCTGCTTGGCCATAGAAACTTGCTGGGGATTGGTGATGTCAAACCTGGTCCTTAAGTACTCCACATACTCTGATATCCTTCTTACATTGGACCACACTTGGTGACACATAACAACAGCTGTGTTTGCCTTTGGTAGCAGCCCGGTCCATAAGAGCTCATAGCAAACAGGGAGAACCTTTAGCCCTCCGGATAATGTAGTCTTTAGTATTAAAGAAGCCTCAGTTGGTATGGACATTGTTAAGGAAACATAGGAGTTACAGCCTAAAACATATGGAGGGCCAAGCATTCCCTTAATTATTGTCACTGTTGAATAGCTCATTATCAGTCTCCTTGTTTTACAGATGATGAGAGTGGTGGTACATTGTGTGATTTGCTGAAGGTGATCTAGGAAGTTCTGGCTGAGGAAAGATTAGAGTTCCCGGGTCTTGCAATTCCAAAGTAGCAGATCTTCTGTTGGATGCAACTTCAGGGCATATACGTAACATAACAATAAATCATAATAGGAGTAGTGCAAAGGCACTGCCATTTTATGCAGTCCCCTGTTCCAGCACAGATTAGGATAATGATACAGAATGTCTCTGAAGACTGAGCATCTTTACAGTTAAATATAGCCTCTGTGTTTAAAGAAACCAGGGCTCAGTGGGGATCTTGAGTCCTCAGAGCATTAACCAGGATGTTTCTTTTGTTGCAAAGATTATTCTTGCTGTCAAAACTGAACCACTTCCAGGAGCAGCCTCTTATTTGTAGTGGGCTTCCTTTCTTGTGCAAATGTTCTTTGCATGACTGAGATCTGAGCAAATGCTCCTCCTGTTGCTTCTTACAGAGCTGTTGAAGTTCTACAATGCATCACTGGATGTCTCCCAGAAGGAAGCTGTTTGCTTCTCACTGGCACAGAAAGAACTTGCCATCATCCACGGACCACCTGGAACTGGCAAGACCACAACGGTGGTCGAGATAATACTCCAAGCTGTGCAGCAAGGCTTGAAAGTGAGTGGATAAGCATCTATATTGAGATTAGCTGCCTGCCCTTTAGGCAGAAGGATTGGCTCTCTGGTCATATTCCATATATATGATCTGGAAGTTTGATGACATTATAGGGAAGGAGCCTGGGTGTATTTGTTTTGAATCAAATTGATGTAAACCATAATTTAACTTTTTTAAAAATCAGATTTTTTGACAATATAAATTTTAAAAACCTTTTTTATTTAAATCATGGTTAAATCATGATTTAAATCAATTTGATTTTTAAAAATCATTGATTTTTATCCACCCTGGCAGGATCATAGCTCAGCCTTTGTAGGCAGTAGGTACTGTGTTCAGTCCCAGGCATTTCCATTTAAAATTGGAATGGACTTTCTCAAATAGCCCATGACCTGCTCTGCTTTGTCCTCTCTACTCTGCCCCTCCCTCACCCTGCAACACACACTTTTTTCAAAAATCCTCCATTTGAAACTAATGGAAGACACATTTCCCCCAAGCCTGTTTGTCGTGCAGAGGTGTGGTTTTGTGGAGTTACTGCATGGACAGAATATAGGATTAGTCTTTCCATCCACAGATGTGATTAGGCTAAAATAGTTTTCTGTTGCTATGGGTTGCAAATTTGTTTCCCCCTAACCTACTGTGTGCTATGTTACCTGAAATGTGGAAATTTGGTAGAAATGTGAGGGGAATATTGAAAGCAAGCATTTGGTTTCTTTAAAGGAATTTTTCTTGTTGGTCTCCAAATTTTGACAGTAAACCATTACAAGCCATTGGAATAGTGGTGCAATTCAGAAGAGTGCTTCAGGGAGCCTTCAGAAATGACCGGGACAGGTTGGGGGAGACAGCAGCTTGATTCCTATCACCAGTTTTGGCAGTGCAGCCCAAAGAGGGGCATGGTTTAGTGGCATGTTAAAGGTGGAGTTTGTCTATCTCAAAATAGACCTCGTGGAAGTAGGTGGATGAGTAGATAACTAGAATTTACAAGCTAAGCACAAAATAACTCATGTCCTTGATTCCTGCTTAGAAGCCCTGGGATGATAGCAAAAGCCATGGAACTACAAAACCTGGATTAGAACAATCTGAAATAAAAAAATAATAAATCAAGGTGTTATTTTTCTGTCAGTTCCAAATTGCCTTCCTTTCTGTTCCTCCTGGCCTTAGTCATGGGCCTTTTTCTGTTGACCTCTAATGTAAGCTTCTGCAAACTTTTAGCTATTTAGTGCTTTAAAAATATGTTTCTTTCCCAAGGTTCTGTGTTGTGCTCCATCGAACATTGCAGTTGACAACTTGGTAGAAAGACTCGCTGGCCATAAAATCCGGATTCTGCGCCTTGGCCACCCAGCTCGTCTCTTGGAGTCCATACAGCACCATTCGCTTGATGCAGTCTTGGCACGTGGGGATAATGCCAAGATTGTAACAGATATTAGGAAGGATATTGATCAAGCATTTGTAAGTCTTGAATTCCATTTTCCACAGTTCATTTATGTGTATTTTTTTAAAGTCAATGGTTCTTTCAGTTTCTCAGATTCCAAAACAGTGTTTCTTGATGGCCACCAAAATGTTGAAGACCTCAACTACTTAGGGTCAGACATTATAATAATTCTGTGGGATTTCCTGTGATGATGCTGGAAGCCTCTTCATTCTGCTTCCCTTCCCTTCCATAGTCATTTTCTGACTCCAGAGTATTGCTCTCACAAATTGTCTCATTTCTGAAATTCTTATTACAGCATTCACATAGTTCTTATTACACAATTTGACAACGCAGATTCCGAGCTTCAGGTAATCAGCACCCCTCATCAAAGTTCCATTCTTTTTATGATTATGTTGTTGTTTTTCCCCCAGCTTGAGATAGGAATTAATCACTGTATGTTGTGGGTCTATTGTTTGATTAATCCCTATGTACATCTACTGTTTTGAAACTATTGCCTTTGCTTCTGATAATGTTTTCAGGTCAAGGCTGAGTCTTGTAGGTGAACAGAAATTCAAGCTTTGTATAAATAGAATCTGTGATGAATTATTCCCATTTCCTCCATTCTTCCTTGTCACTCCAGTAGAGGGTGCAGTGTTTTAAGTTATACTGATACCATTATAACTGATGGGCACAAATTCACTGATTTTGTAACTGAGTCCTCTCCTCTGAAGTCATATCCTTCTTACTCCTGCCATGCATACATAGCAAAATAAGTAGACAAAGTTTTGCTGTTGTTTGTCATTCTTGTTACTTGATTTCCTGTTTTAAACTTAATTTAAAATCTGGCACTAATTCAATTGGGATAATCTATTTTAATGCAAATTGTTTCATTTCTCTTCCAAGGACATTGCATAAGATGGCTTGGTAATTGCATTAACTTTACTGTGTCAGACTGTCCATTGTCACACAGAGATACACCTGGAATGAGTGCCAGGACATGGTAGACAGCACGTTGTGCTGCCTTTGTTCATTTCCTTTAAATTATAGGAAAGTAATACAGTAATTATACTTGTATTTTCTAAAACCTTTTGCTCTGTTCCCATTTCCAATTGCATTTAAATTATTATTTAGTATTATTTATTCAATGACTATTGTTTTTCATTAAGGGCCAGTATTCTGTACAAATTAATGAGCACAGAATGGAAGTTGTGGAAGTGGCCACAGCTATTTGGAGAGTGCCTGTTGTGGGCTGTCATGTAAGTGCTCCAAATAGCCATGGCTGGTTGTGCCATTTGTTACGTACTGTACGTGGCAGTCCAAACAGGATGCTGGCCAGCATTTTATTTATAAAGAGATTCACAGTCTTTATCATATGTCTTGTCAGAACACATAGACATATACACAGAGAAGCAAATGGCTCTTGTTCTTCATGTTGGGTATGATAAGTGCAGCTGTGTAATAGCCATTTGCCCAGAGTCTCATCATAGTAGCACTGATTGGACTACTTCTTCCTAGATTTACATATTATTGTTTTCAACTGGCTCTTTTGGTTCTCAGAAATAAGCTTTCTCAGCAATACTTTCTAGATCAGTCCTCCTTGGTGCCTGGCCACCCAACTACCTTGTGAGTATCAGGATGAAGCATGACAGACTCCCTCCATGCTCAAAACCCCTGTTCTCTCTGAGCAAGCTTTTGGGTGGGCAACTCAGAGTCAGAATATCTTCGTCAGTGGGATTGGGGAGAGATTTTGCCAAGAGCTGCCAAGAGCTAATCCTTACCTGTAAGCGACTGTAGTAAAATGCTAACTTTAGTGGTCTTAACTGACTAGATAGGCGGGATATAAATAAAATAAAAAAAATAAGACATTCCTGGCATTACTAGAACAACTTCCTAGATATAGGACTTATATCTGCAACACTTCCAAGTGACATGTTGCTGCTTTATGGTGACTAGAAATAGAAAGTCATATCTATAGCAGCAGCTTTCTTCAGCATTTTGTACAAGGCTGAAGTATATTATTCCCCGTATTGATATTTATCTTTTAAACAAGCATGGTTTGTAACATAGTGGTAAAGACAAAAAAGAGGCATAATCAAAACACTCGTAGACTGTGTGAATCGGAACTGTGAAGCTCAGTTTCTCAGCACTGAACACAACCATCTATCTGAACTGGGCCCTACAGGCAAATGGCTGTTCCAAGAATAAAATCACAAGAGCCACCAAACTGAGAAAACAACACAGAACTGAAGAGAGAAAAACAGCCACCCACAAATAAAGTATTTCTGCCATACATTAAAGGGGTCACAGACCGCATGGGGAAGCTTTTGAAAAAACACAAACTACAAACAGTATTCAGGCCCACCACAAAAATACAACAAATGTTATGGTCAGCAAAGGACAAAAGAGACCCCCTCACCTCTGCAGGAGTATACCAGATACCTTGCAGTTGTGGCCAGATATATATATTGGGACCACAAAACGCAGCATTCACAACAGAATCAAAGAACATGAAAGACACTGCAGACTAAAACATCCGGAAAAATCGGCAGTAGCTGGTCATGCCCTGAAACAAGCTGGACATGAAATCCTATTTTGAAACATAGACGTACTGGACAACACCAGCAATCACTATGTTAGACTAACAAGGAAGCCATTGAAATCCACAAACACCAGCAGAGTCTCAATAAAAAAGAAGAAAGTCTAAAACTCAACAAAGCCTGGCTCCCAGCACTGAAAAATACAGGCTGCAAAAGGTCAACAAACTCTAGCCAGCCACAAGGACTGGTGATCACTCCAAAAGACTAGCTAACGACCCCCATCAATCACAGTGACAGACCATCTCCCCCTCATCACAACAATAATAACAAAAAACACCCTGATCACCATAATCACCAAATCTCCTGAAAAGGACAAAAAGCTGATACCACAGCTGCAAATACTCAACTATCCCACACACTGCACCAGAACACAGAGTTCTAACTCCTGACCTCTGAAGATGCCAGCCACAGAGACTGGTGAAACATTAAGGGGAAAAAAACCCTCCAGAACATGGCCAAACAGCCCAAAAAACCTACAACAAACAATGTACTGCAACATTTTGTTCCATGTCCTACCTATGTTCTGGGAGCTAGAGATTATGCTCTCCCTCTTCCTCATCTTAGCAGTTTGCTGCTTTCAGCACTTCCAGAATTCTTTTTCCATTAAGCTGTAATTACTTTGTTACAGAGGTAGAACAAACAACTCAGAAGGTGTTTTCTATTTGGCAAAATTTAGAAAAGCATAAGCGTTACTGGAGTGCAGGGCCACCTCAAGTAAATTATAGTGGAAGATAGTTTACCTGCTTCTCTGCAGAGAGGATATTAGCAACAATACCATCTTTATAATTTTGTTATTGCAGTCACGTCACTTCCTTGTGGATTTCATATGGCCTGTCTTTGTCTTGAACCCTCACAGAAATAAAAAAAAAAACCTTTTCAGACCTAAACATTAAGGTATTGTTTTTAATAAATATGGGTTTGACCAAGGGCAGGTCCACTGCAGATAATTATGTTATACTTCTGTCAGCATGGAATACTAGAGTACTGTACTTGCTTGTTTGTATCATGACCCTGGGGAGCTTTAATGGGCAGTGAAAGCAGGGTGTAGTTCAAGGATTGTTGGCCTTCTATTCCGTGACTAGAAGAAATGTCACTTTAATGCTAGTACATCTGCCACCGTCTTTCACAGGATTGTTTGCCTGCAACCAAAAATGACATTCTCAGTGAATTTCTTGGAGTCAGGCAAATTTTTGTGATGTTGTAATCGAGCAGCAGATCATATAAGAAGTCGCAGCATGTTTCCACTTTCTTTCCTTTAATAGAACAAGTGTTGCCACCAATTCAAATCTCGGGAGTTACAATATAAACCAGAGTTCTCTGTTGGCATTCCAGTGCCCCACAGAATGGCCCAGTGGGCATGGTGTAGTGCTGTGATAATGGGTGAAATCCTGTTGCACAGTGGTGCATAACTTTTAGGAGTGAATTGCTGAAGTTATTAAATCTACATAGACATTATCTGGTATACACCCAGTCACGCATGATCTTTAGCCATGTCATTCCCAGTGGAGCATTTCTGAGGAGGGGAAAAAGGAGGTGTCCCAGCGGCAGCCATCGCTTTTTCCCTTCTGAGCACTTGGGAAAGATGCTAACTCATGATGTAGCTTTATTCCTTTGAGCCTTTCTGTGGAGCAGAGGAATCCCAGTATGCTGCACTGATGGCATCTCTTCTAGAAATGGCAAGAGCTTTTTCTTTGGTTTGGTTTTTTTTAAAGGAAAAAGCAAAAACATCTTAAAAGGAAAAGAAGTGGGCAAGTCACCTTCCTTTTGCCTTTTGCAACTGATCCCTTTTTGCCCCTGTCTCCAGACTGTCAGAAAAGTATCCAATGGCTACTTTGGCCAAGCGCTGCATTGCCCTTACTGAACTGATCTTGACACCAGCAGGAGGAGACTTTTGTTGCCTGCTGTTCCCTGAACAGTATTTTTTTTTCCCACTGAGAAGTGAAAAGTTGAGGAAGCTTGGGCTTGGCCTCCTGTGAAACTCAGTGCTTTGTCACAAGTCATATCCCAGTACTTGGGATTGATTGCCTAACTTCAGTATTTTCTTGCTTTCTTGCTTTCCATGCTAGGTGTATAATTTATTGCAACTGAGTTTAATTTATTGCAACTGAAAGAGGCTGAATGGAGTCACTTAAGATGAAGGCATTCTAAACAAAGCAAAGACTAGTAGAAATACAATGGCCTTTCCTCCACCTTACTTTGCTGCTAATTCAGTTCTATGGCCCTTTCTGTTTAGATGTGCCCTTCCAAACACCCAACTAAATACCTAAATTGTTAATCTTGTAGTAGGACGTTTCTTGTCATTGAGGGATGTTATAATGTATAATATATTTGTTATGTGACCAAGCAAATTTACAATGGTATGATTGTTTTGTTTTTATATATAAATTGTATAGAAGCACAGCATATTGTTTTAAGACATATGCAGTTAAGAACTTGTTAAATGAACCTTGCATAGTAAGTGGACCTAAAGTAAACTAAGCACATGCTAACATTTTATTGTTCATGAAATTGCCAGTTAAGGTTATATACCATACAAGTTATGATAGTAATATCAGAAACTTGCTATAGAAAACTCTGGCATTTGTTTGCATATGTAAGTGAGTAAGTAAACTTAATTCAGCCCCTACTTAGATTAAGAATTTTATTTTGTGGATAATGGCAGGAGGAATTATTTGATAATAGTACTAAAAAGCATAGGTTCATTAAAAAGCAGTAGTAAGTTTGCATACATAGAAAACCTAAACTGAATATATTTGCATTGCTTGTATATATTGCTAATACACACAAGGGCTGAGCATCTTGAGAGTACTCCTAATAACTCTAATTGCAACATGTTGTATATTTCTGGGTGGATTATTGTGCTCTATTATCTTGCCTATTCAGCATTTTTATATAGTGATGTGCTAGGCTATATAAGCTGTGCAGTTTTATTAAAAGGTGTTTTTTTTTTGTTTTTTGTTCTCTTCGTTCAGGTAAAAACCAGAAAAACCCAAGACAAAGGGGAGAGAGGCCATTTTCTAAATGAGATTAAGATCCTGAGAAAGGAGCTGAAGGAACGAGAGGAAATGGCTATGACTGAAATCCTGAAACAAGCTAATGTTGTTCTTGCAACAAATACAGGTTAGAGGAACATTCCTGTCTTTGCTTTTAATAAGGATGACTAAATCAAATTATTGGCAGGTACAAACTTAGGCTGCTGTATGATTTACTGCATTATCATGCTTCATCAGGAACTCCAAAGATTGCATAGTGCGTCTTTGAATTGATTCTTAGTCCTATACTTTTAACAGTATGTGTAATATGCAGAATTATGCCTAGGTAGTTTATGTAGCCTTTTGCCTTTCTGTTCTGATCACAGAGCTCTGCTCCCCTATTGGTTGATTTATGTAACTAATCAATACTTTGTGCATCTGAGCAACATAACACAACCGTACCATTCACATTTTACAAATCATTGCTTACTACTATTATATGCTGGCTAATATGGGAAAGGAATTCATCCATAATTTACAATCAAGCTCTTGGACTAGCAAAGCAGTGTGTTACTTATATCTTGAAGCTGGCATTTGTATGATTTTGTAGGACAGGATCTAACCAGTCTGATGCTGCTTGATTTTGTAGTTTTCAGACGTCCCCCAAGTGGGGACAAAGAAAAATATGCAGACTTTGTAATATAAATGCTAGTATATTAAAATACTGCAAGCAAGTACAGTCGTGCCCCGCTTAACGATTACCCCGCATTACAACGAATCCACTTCACAATGATGTTTTTGCGATTGCAATTGCAATCACAAAACAATGTTTTAAATGGGTTTTTTTCGCTTTGCGAAGATTGGTTCCCTGCTTCGGGAACCGATTCTTCGCATTACGACGATCAAAACAGCTGATCAGCGAGTTTTCAAAATGGCTGCCGGGTGCTCAAAATGGCTCCCCGCTGTGCTTAGGGGCGGATTTCTTGCTATACAGGCACTGAAAATGGCCGCCGTATGGAGGATCTTTGCTGGACTGAGTTTCAGCCCATTAGAATGCGCCGTATGGAGGATCTTTGCTGGACTCTGAGTTTTAGCCCATTAGAATGCGTTAACCAGGTTTCAATGAGTTTCAATGGGTTTTTTTTTTGCTTTACGTTTTCGCTCTACAGCAATTTCGCTGGAACGAATTAACGTCGTTAAGCGAGGCAGCACTGTACAAAACTGTTTATGAACACAACAGAAGTGCCTTATTAAAATATTTTGTTCAGAGAAAATTATATTTTTTTCTGGTTGGGAAGCTGAAATAGTAGCATAAATCTCCCATGCAAGAGGGTTCTGTCGAAGCAGATTACTGTTTGAAACATTATTTAGGATGCAATTCTAAATAGAAGGAGCTGGATACTGAACAAATCCTCTCATCTTAAATTCCCCATTCCATCCAGGATCTTGCCAGTATGGTGAAACTATCAGTAGAGCAGTTCTGTTGCCCTGCCCCCTTCATTCAACAACAAAAATAACAAATGTTTTCCACGTCAGGGAAACTTGACTGGGGGCCAGTCCCTCCCTGCACACTGCCCATATGACAAAACACTATTTTCCTTTGTTATGAGATTAGAAATTCTGACCTTCAGGAGGAAGCCATCTGAGAAACCTCCTCAGTGGCTGAGAAGGGTTGGGTGAAGGGATCAAAGTTCATGTTTCCTCTTCAAAAATGACTTCCATTCTACAGAGGATTATTTGGAAATTTATCTGCTCACCAGAGGTGGGGGATCCTGGTAAAATCATTCCTGAATATCTGAGTTACCTTGAAAGCCCTATTAGGGTGGCTATAAGTCAGTTCTGACTTGATGGCACATTACATAATATTATATGCTATTTGCTCTTTTCACCCTGTGTTTTGCACAGTCTCACACCCAGAGCAATGCAGTGCCATATCTCTGGCTTTCTGTGGATCTGATTGCTGCACTTGCCTACTCAGATGATCTTCTACTTGCCTTTTGTTTCAATCCATCAATACAGAATCAGCTTTCTTTTAGGAGGGGAAAAAAACCTTCCTTTGGGCACTGAAGGAATGCCAAATACAGTAGTTTCTTAACTATGTCTTATAACAAAATGTACTGCCAGATTTTTTAAAATACTTCATGCTTTCTCTTATTGCTTCAGACTTATAGAACAACCCATCTTTTGTCCCAATCTCTCTCTTTTTTTTCCATATACCACTGCAATAGTGGGAGGAAACAAATTTTCAGGGCGCTGTTATTTTGTGGACACAAGTCAGTGTTTCAAGATAAAAATTATCTTCATTTTTATTATCCTGGTTTTCTTTTATTACTCCCATACAAATTACTGAGTGCTGCTTTGTCTGATTGTACAACTTGCTTTTTCTCTTGGATACACAAAATATTTTGCATTAATTAGCTTCTCTGCTTTCATACACTGAGACTGTGATTACACTTTGCTTTGTAGCGAGATATTCTCAAAATGTCCAGTGGAAATCAAGCCAGAACAAAGTTTTGTTACTTTGAAACCTAAACACTGTTTCTTCTGCCATCCATTTCTTCTTCTTCTTTTCCAAAAGCATGTTGCAATCAGAGCAATTACATGGTTGATATAATTGGAGGTAGAAATCATCGTCACCTCCTCCATCGTGCAGAACTGATTGGCACAAACCAGTCCTACTTCTGTCATGGTGTTGCCAAGTTCAGCAGAAGGGGAGTTTAATTGCTTCAACCCTAAGGGACAGAGCTGACTTTTAGTTAACGGAGTTGAGTGAATTAGGATTCCACCAGAACAGCTAGAATAGAATAACATCTCTCTTAGCTACTTAATAGTACTTGCACACTTTCTTGTCGCAGACCAGGTTTACTTTCATCTGGAAGTCAGCACAGTGGCAAAACCAATTCAGAACAGTGTGACAAGTAATGATATCGGGTGCAACATAGCCTGTGACATTGTCATTTGAAGATTTTTCTTTTCGGCTTTTCAGTTGGGCTGTATGTAATATATATCTCATGATCCAAACAGTCAGATGATTAAGTTCAATTAGGGAAAGAGCAAAATGCTTTCTATTACTTGTCTGTTTATGGCCTTGTCCCTTGGAAACCACAGGTAAGGTGGTAAACCTGTTCCAAGACTGGGCCACATTAAACTGCAGGCAAGGAGCTGCATGGTTAAATGCCAGGCTAGAATCTTTCCTCCACTCTGCAGTTGTATGGGAAATTTGTTCTGGTTTGTGGTGGCGTTAAATGGAGGTGCATTAATTGTGTGAATCTCTCTTCTGAAATGTGAAGTGCTATCTGTCAGCTGTTCCTTGTGTGAATCATACCTTGTAATATTAGCCACGGTATGACCAGTAGCATAATCTGTCCCCTCTGCTGTTTTTTGTATGAATTATACCTTGTAGTACTGGTGACTGGAGAGCAGGTAGCATATTGCTTTGTTTATGTCGAATTGCTGTATGATATACCTCAGGGTTATCTGCTAACACTAGGAAGTAGGTCAGAATATAAGCCCTTGGTGGGGGAGCTGCCTCTTTGCCTATAACTGTCATTAATCTTGAAATAGAGGATATGAGAGCTAAGCTTACTACAGTTGTGGAGACTGTAGGCTGTAGTCTCATATGTTTTAGACAGAATTGACTGAGCAGGAAGAGGATGGTTTTATAGCAACAAGGGTGAATGGTTACCATTTGCACTCAAGGGAGTTTGCAAGATGCTGCTGGAGAGCTCTCGGTTCTAGAGGCATGTGACCTGCAAAGCAGACTCAGTAACAAAGATGATTAGGCAAATCCAAGGAGACTCAAACTGTTGGGGCAATGGAAGGAGATAACTATATACTTTAGCTAGCATAGGATAGATTATGTTACCTCTGAATATCCATTGCTGGGGAGCACAACGGGGAGAATGCTGTTGTGTTTATGTCCTGCTAGGAAGTTTCCTGGAGATACCTTGTTGGCCACTGTGGAGACAGAATCATAGCCAAAAGGGTACAGATAGTTTTAAGCTTCCTGCAACCAGACATTCTAATTTTGAGTGTAACTTTCTTGGATTTAAATAAATCAGTGTCTCCTGTACAGCAAGTTGCACCATACCATGTCTTGGCTTCATTTAAAATTCATAGTTTCCAAACCGCCTCCACTTCACTGGCAAACTAAGCAGAATGGCCTCTGCCCCCACCTCACATAAGTGGATGGTTGTCCCCATAGAAATGGCCAGATATGTCAGGACAGAATGGACAATGGGCTGTGCCAAGTATTATCTCCATTGTTGCTCACAGCACCATGTAGTCAGCTAGCAGTGAACTGAAAGGGCACACAAGCCCAAGCCTTTAAGCCAACCAGATTTTCTGACTTCTATTATAGAACAAAGATTCAATGTTCCTACATTCTCTTTTTGATTAGGAGCCTCTTCTGATGGTCCACTGAAGCTACTTCCTGAGAACCATTTTGATCTGGTGGTGATTGACGAATGCACTCAAGCTCTTGAAGCAAGCTGCTGGATACCTCTGCTGAAGGTCAAAAAATGTGTCCTGGCTGGAGATCATAAGCAGCTGCCTCCCACAATCATCTCACATAAGTAAGGAACATTTCCAAAACTAGCCTATTAATTATTAGAGTGAGTACCAAGAAAAAAGTTACTGTGAAAAACAGTATTTCCATTGAAATGGCATAATTTGTATTTAATTGCATAGCAGCTAGAGTTAGGCCTAATGCACTCTTATCTTTCATGGAATTTAGTGCCCATATGACCAGTTCGCCATGGTTTAGCAGGAGCACTTATAACAGTGAGCTACTGATAGCAGAAGCACAGTTTCCCCCCTAATTATAATACTTTACTCTGATGCCTGCAAAGACTTACTGATAGCTTGAAGGTGTAAGAATTACTTGGCTCCCTGTAAATGCTTCATTCAGAAGTAAGAATTCGGCAGCCTCTTTCGTGGTTGTACAATTCCAAGATGTAGTGACATCAATGTCAAATGTCAAAATGTACCAAAATTACCTAACCTAACAAGAGGGTGCCTACTGAGGATTTGTACTTAGGAGCTCATGGAAGATTTTGCTTACTGAGTTCAATTCTTTCTCTTTGTGCACACTTTGAGAATTACCCGTTTACAAGAATAACTGGGAGAAAATAATTATTTTTTTCTTCTACTGCTGTGTATGTGGCTTGTACATGAAACAGAAAACTCAGAATGAACGTAGTCTTCTTTCCATAGCTGCCTGCTAGCTTTGGGAGACTGACATTTCTCAAAGCTAGCACACAGCTATGTAACAAAGAGTTGCCTATCTTGTGTGAAAGCTGCTGCCTTTATGACCACTGTACATAAAGCTGTAAATTGTAATTTGCCTTCCATCCCTTGGTGTTCTCTATACGTGAATTACTTGCACATTGTTTTCGGTAATGTGTGTACTGGTGAACTTGGTTTGACCGTTGTTTGCAGTTCTGATTCTGCCAGAAATGAAGGGGGCTATGGTCAGTGTATATTTGCATACAGTATAGACTTTCAGTTCGGATCTAATTGCAAATTATGGATTCTCAAAGAGTAGAGGTATTTTGTTCAGGCAGATTATACCACAAAGCTTATTCGTTGTTTGGAAAGACACATGAACCAAGTCCACGTAGGATACTGAGAGCACCTGTAACTGAACAGAAAGAATTGACTGAATCCTATAGCACAAAACAGTTGTTCTTTGTTCTGTCTGGAGCTTCCAGGCATTGTGGATCCTGGCCTCGGATTACTCAAAGCTGGAAACCAGTGGCCCAAAGCATAAGGGCTAAGAAAAGAGAATAGCCAGTGTCATCTTAAGAGAACAAAAAGTGGGGAGTGCTTGAGATGTAGGAGGAATGTCATTTGTAGTAAAAGGTATAAAAGGAAATAAAGGCACAAAAGTGTGGGACAAGGTGCTGGAGAGCTTTAAAAGTGCCAAGAACTAGTTTGTATTAAAGTTTGAAAGGGATGAGAAATCATGTGGGAATATAGGGGAGGTTCTGCAGTGACAGAAGTAAACAACTCTAGACATAGAGGCTTTGGATAGGACTGTGGCAAAGAAGGGCCGGAGAGGGCATTTGGAGCAGGCAAGGATATATAACATTGTAGTTGGAGAAGAGTTGATTCCATTTATCACCATGACACTCATAAGCAGAGAGGAGTGCTCCATCTTCTTGAGGCTGAATTTGGCAACAGCACCAGGTCCTTTTCTGTTTCTTTCTGTGCTGCAAGGTCAGAAGACCTGCAGTCGTAAGATCGAATCCACATGATGGAGTGAGCCCTCATCGCTTGTCCCAGCTCCTGCCAACCTAGCGGTTCAAAAGCATACAAAATGCAAAATGCAAGTACAGTGGTGCCTTGCACAACAATGTTAATTGGTTAAAAAAAACGTTCTGTGAAAACATCGTTCTGTGAAACACCATTTCCCATAGGAATGCATTGGAAACCGGTTAATCCGTTCCAATTGGAACGGATTGCCGTCCTTAAGTGAAAATTGGCATAGGAAACATCGTTGAGGGAAACGCGGTTCCCCAATTGAAATGCATTGAAGCCGACTCAATGCATTTGAATGGGTTTGCGAAGTCCCTTTTCGCTCCTGTAAAAGTGTCTTAAACTGTTTGAAACCTGTTTTAAATGCTTGCAATCGTTAGCCCACCTCCTGAAACCTATGCAAACTTAATTTGGTGTTGTTCTGAGTTTTCGTTAATGTTTGGTGAATTTTTTTATTCTCCATTGAAAGCCATTGAACGCCAATGGCTTTCAATGGAGAATAAAAAAATTCACCAAAAATGTATGGGCCTTCTTCCTGAGAGGTGGCTGCCTCTAACAGGAAAGTATTTTTGTCTCTGTTGGTAGGAAATTAGCATACAAGAAGACTGTAAATTGTACATTGTTGTGCATGTTGCTCTGTATAAATATGTAGTCATTTTATGTGTATGAGTTTTATGAATATATCTTATATTTATAATGTTATCATCCAGGCAATTGCAGGCATAATATCTTTCCCTGTAGAGAAAACCTGTACTATGTTGCTAGCATTTTTGTGGCAATGGTAGTGAGTAGCAGCAGCAAATGAATATTTCTAATCTGTTGATTGTAATAAAGATCTCTCGCTCTCTCTGCCTGAAGCTGCAAATGAGACATGGATTCCTTTGAGCTGGACGCTGCATATTCAGATCGCCTGCCTATGTAAAATAATGTAATAATTCTTTTAACAGGTTGAGAGTTGCTGCTTTTGTAGATTTGCATTATCCAGATTCATCAAGAATACAGTTATGTTTCTCATTTAGGAAAGATGAGAAATTTATAAGAGTCAACCTCTGCCTTACTCACTTTTGTGAATAAATATTAGCACACAACTATGACTCCTAAAAGCTGTTCGCTATAATAAACAAATTAAGGACAAGACAAGTTTCTGTAATATGAATATTTGGAGAAATAGTAGCCATTTTTGTGGAAAAGATTTTTGGCTTATACATTTAATCTTTCCCCCAAAGTTCTTAACTGTTTTATGTTGTGAACAGAGAGTTGTTGTATTTTATGTGTATTACCAAATGGGCTGTTCTGCTGCTGAACTATCGTAGGGATGCCTGTAATCTGAAATACTGAAAGGGGATGGGTGTGGGGGAGAGAGTTGCTTTATTCATTTCCTTGCCCAATATGTTTTTAGAAATATGAGTTCAGAATAAGCATTCTGGTTTGGGGGTTAGAACAAGACATCATGACTTCTGAACTTTGCCACCGTTTTTCATAGGCCACATAAGAGTAAATTATTTTTTCTCTTCCATATTCTGCTGTCCTGTGAGCTAACATTTGAGTCTTGTTTTTTAAGCAACATTTGGATCCATGACACCTGATATGTTTTGCTTCCTTTTGGTTGAATAGATTTCAGGCAAAACATGAGCTTGAGAGATCAATAGTGTTTACTGATTTACATCTGTTCAGCTGAGTTACCAATAAGTCCTGCCCCAAGGAGCTCACTGTGTTATGTACAATTATTGTAAAAGCAATCTAGCAATCTTCTAGAGCTGTAATCCAACTGCTGTTCAGACTGGATGCCTTCTAATTCATTCCATTTGCTTTCAAATGGTTGCAGAGAACCTCTGGATCATCTTTCTTCTTTTTCCAGGCTACCCATGAAACATTAACTCCATGGTGGACAAATTCATAGCAAGTATAAGAGGGGTGATGAATCACTGGCATTTTCTCTTAGAATCAGTGTTTGACTTGGCTAGATTTACTGTAAACTGCAGGCCTGAGGAAGAACTGTACTACTCCTCTTCTGAGCCCCTGGGTATTGTTTTAACCTCCTGTCTAATGAAGCGTTCCGAAGATTTGAAAGCTTGTTCACTGCTTCATAGCATTTTGCTGCTCTTGAAAATGTCTTGCCCTACTTTAGTTTTTACACCATGGATTAGAGTCCCTAGATCACACATAAATACAGAAAGGTGGAAAACATCTGTGCATTTATTGCACTTAACTGCCATTACAGAGGATGTGATTTGATAACAGAGTATGAAGAAGGTAATAATTCTCTTGGATAATGTACTTTAGAGTGTCTCTTCACAAAAGATGCTCACCTTCCTCTGTACTTTGTAGGAGCTGTCACGATACTGGTAGCTTGATGGTTCTGAGAAGCAGAAGGACTGTGTTAGTGGGCGAAGATACTGTATGAATAACCCTGCTAATCAGGACAAAAGAGAGGAATAAAGGAAGAGAAAGATGTGAAGGACAGGGAAATGAAAAGGGTAGGGAAGGAGGTAACAGGCCAGTTTTGTGTCTTTCATTTCAATTCCTGTACAATCTGAACGATAGAGGACACTGCATATACCAGCACATAATAGCTATGCTGCTGAAGATATGACTTGATCTTGTGTCCTAAGTATAGTTAACATGTGTGCACCATTGAGAGTAGAGCTTAAAAATGTGACTGGTCATGTTGGCCTGACTTCTGAGAGATGTTGTCCCTAAAAAAAAATGTTGAAGCTGTGATTAGGGAAATCAGGGAAAATAGTAAAGTGTCAACAATGAGCTAAGAGGGAAATGAAATGTGGAAATGAAAGTGGTGACCATTCACAAAGCTTTGTTCCATGGTAGTGCATGTGCCCTGGTAATGATAAATTTACACATGTAATAAACAATTGTTATACAAATTCAAGCCATAGGCTGAAATTCATGATAAATTAAAATTCATTGGTTTCATATTACAGCCTAGAGAAAATAACA